GACTTATAGGGATTTTTGTAAAAGTAATGAAAATAAAACTTTCTCTATCTTCTATATGGTTAAAAAAATATGAAATAGATTTTTGATTATATAAAAAGAAAAAATCAATTCAAATTCAACATTCTTGGAAAAATTAAAATTTTTTGCCTCGGAAAGGGAAGGGGGGCTCAGCTCCTTCTCAAAATTTAAAAAGGGGGTTGATAAAAAAGAATAGTGGGAGAGGTCTTAGCCTCCGTACCACTCCCTCGCAATACACCTGATTTAATAGAAATAGATACATGATCTTCAATATCGATAAAAATGAATTAGGTATTTCCTTCAAAGATTTTAAACTTACTAAATAAAACAATAATATCTTTGAAATCTTATTACTATTGCATTCCCTTAATGATAGAAAATTTATTAAGAGCTAACCTCCACCCCTACCCCCATAAAAATATCGAATAGTAAAATCGATGATGTTAGAAATATTATATAATCCAAATTAATTGAGGCAGTATTAATAACCTCTATCCAATAAAATCATAATCAAAATATTTAGGTATCATAATTTAGGATAGGAATAACAAATAAACATTGATTGGTGATAAATGTTTAGCTATTAATGTGAGTATAGTCAAAATTGTTACCTGAGCATTAAAAATTTTTTTTTTATTGATAAATTAGAATTCTTTTGCCAATTATTTTGTTCTTAATCTACAAATATTATTTATTTTTATTTACTACCCACCTACCCCCTTTGGATGCCTACCCATTCCTTTCATAAAAATTAAAGGCAAATTAATGGCTTCTACCCATTCTCATATAGACACTGGCCATGGGTTACGTTAATTCATTATGAATTCTATAATGTATCTCATTATGTAAAGATTTATGTAAAGATTTATGTAAATAAGCAGGAGCACTGCCTACATTCACATGAGAGAGAAATTTATTGGAGGCAATCCCCTATGACTTATCCACCTAAAAATGTTGTAATCTATTTATAATTTTTTGATAATCATTTTTTATTTTCATAAAAACAAATATAACTATATTATAACCTATTTACTATGAAAAACGTTCTAAACATATTAAAAAATTATAATTTAATTTGATTCTATTCTAAAAATCAAAATCGATAATATGAATTTTTATTCGTGGAAGTTATTGTTTATAAAATTTAGAATAAAATAAATACAGTAAATTTTGCACTAGATTAAAAAACTTTTATGTTAATAAAGAAATTAAAAAAATTATATTAAAAATGCTCATATATAAGCTGTCGAAAAGATAAATTCTTTTATTAGTATTTTGGATGATCTTTTAGAAGTCAAAGCAAAGTGTATCAATAAAAAAACAGAAATTTTATACCGCATACGAATTGTTTATTTTTACTTGCTCATAACTCTTCAGGAATCATAGCAGGGATGTGAACCCTTTAACAAAAAAAGAGGGTCGGGGTTCAGAGATAAAAAAAGTTCAGGTTCAGTTCGTAGTGCATAAAGAAATATTGACTCATAATCTGGACCTGCAGAGGTATCATTTGCAAGGACCAGTAATAAAAATTAGCCCAGCCCGGATTAAAATTTTTTTTTAATTTTTAAACCCCCTTTTTAAAATATATTTTATTCTTAATTTTTAGAGATAATAATGTCAATTTAAAATATAATGTTTTAAAATATTCGGCTCGGTCCGGGTATTGTTTTAAAAAAAGCAAATTAATGGATATCCCTAAACTAATTTCCAGGTGAAATTGAACTTACATTAATTGACAGAACCTAAATTCATAAGAGCACGTCCAGTGTCCCAATGCCATAAAGCCCGGATAAATGAAGGGTTACGCAAATAGGAATAACGATAATCAGTTATAGATATAGAGTATACTCAAGATAAAGGAGCTATTTGGCACTTGAGAGGAAAAAAATATTTTTTGGTTATTATAGGAAACATACATAAATTCCAATAGCCAAGGCCAGCACCGAGATATTGAATATTAATCCAAACTTAGGGCCATTTATATTCAGAAGACTTCCATTTTGGAATAGCGGAGACACATATAGTTTTCAAGGGTTCTGTTATAATAATCTCTGGGTTAGCAAAAACGGTCCATATCTGAATGGCAGTTCCATGTCAATTCAGCGAAACTATTATAACGAAATAGTTTTTCGCGAAACTTATCGCGAATGAATTTTATAGCAAAACTTTTATCGCAAATCCACATTAGCGAATACTTTTCCGCGAAGACAATATCGCGAAACAAATATCGCGAATTTTTTATAACGAAACCCTTATCGTGAAAAATACATGACAGTGAAACTTTTATCGCGAATCAATAATCGAGAAAATTTTATGGCGAACTCATTATCGCGAAACTTAAATCGCAAAGACAAGATAGGGAAAACTATTTGGCGAAATTTATCGCTGCCGTATTAATTATTATTAATTTATTTTATTTATATTTAATGTTAATATTTTATTTAGCAACAAATAAACATCTGATATGATTTAATATTTTTTATTTATATTACGAAAATGTTCTTTTATTTGATGTTTTTTTAATAAAAAAAAATGATATGCTACTATTATTGTAATATTATTTTATACAATTTATTAGTGATTTTCATGCCCAAAATTTTAAGCAAAAAATATTATTTGAAGTTCAAAAAGATCTTTGAACATATTTTGATAAAAATTGTAAATCTTCGAAATAAAATCTTTTTTGAGGAATTCTTTTGTGAATTTTATAAATAAACTTAGGTGAATCAGAGACCTTCATGGGCCTTAATTTTTTGACCAGGCCCGGCCTAGGCCTGCACTAAAATTTTTTTTTAGGACCAAGCCCGGCCCATATCTAATGTTAAAAACAATTCCTAAATCCGGCTCAAGCTCATGATAAGTTTCAAAAAAATTTCCCAAACCCGGCCCAAGCCCATATCCAAAAATTTAATTTTTTTTTATTTAATGAAAATAAACATTGTTTAAATATATTTAGGCAATCAAGGGCCTGCCGTGGGTCTAAAATTATATTTCCTAGCGGGCCTGGGCCGGGCCTGGATTTTTAAATTTTTTTTAATGGGCTTGGGCCCAGGGTTGCTAGGTCAAAATTTTCAAATTGAGGGATAAATTTGGTATTTTGCGAGAGAAATATGAAAATTGCGGGAAAAATATGAAAATTGTAGTATATGTTGATAAATATTGATGTGATAATAATAAAATATTTAAATATAAATAAAATAAATAAGGTCGATGCTCGGGGGTCAATTTGGTTGCTTTGATTTTGGAACATTTTTTCGACCAAAAACACAATCAAAAATCATGCTAATTCGATTCAACCAAGCAATTTAACCACACTAATTTTACCTTATATAAAAATAACTTGAGACCGAACAATATTCGTCTTTATTCGCAATATACTTACTGTTTTGAATAATATTTAAATATTTCTAGAATTTTTATTTACTGCTCAATAAATAAGCTATTGATAAATACTCATTTATATTATGGCGAAACATTAATTTTTTTTTAAATTTACCCACTCTACCCCATATATATATAATGTATTTTTTTTATATAAAACTTTAATATCTAATGTGTGATTCATCGGTATTTGTTATTCACCACTAATTGTGATTCATGGCTATCTCTGATTCCGTGCCATTTGTGTTGTGATTTCCATGCTACACTCTCCCCGGCCGAAGTCCGGGCTAGGGCGACATACTAGTTTATTTAATCTTCCAATGATAGTTATAATTTCATTTTTAGCTTCCATTTAGAAAATGTTAACATACATCATCTTTGCAAATTCTTAAGTAAAATTTTTTTTCTATAATATTTTCACCAAAAAAAATACAAATTGGATTCTTTCAATTCTTGGTAAATAAATTTGATTATAAAAAAAAAGATAATTTTGAGATGATGAAAAATAAATAATGAAATTGAAAATTATGATGAATCAAAAGGGAAATGAAGTTGAATAATATAAAATATTTAACTTGGAATTAAAGACAAACATAACATGATATTTAACATTTATGAACATATTATAGCATCATTAAATGAATTAAAAGATTCTAATGACCCAAGTACCTCTTCCATTGACGATGACTATTAGCAAGTATTATGGATGAAAATTTTATATTAAGTCTATTTATTCTGAAAGAAATATTGATAGGCTCACATGGGGCTTGTATTGAAATGTAGGCAGTTGATAATGATTTGGCTATGGTAACCAAATTAATACAACACACAAAAAATATTACAAAGACTAAGAGGTTAATATTAGTTACTATTTCTATAAATAATATTAAAATGTAGCTAATAGGGACGATATTTTTTAAAATTACATTACATATCTAAACAGTTATTTGAAAATGAATAATGTTATAACTGGTTTCTATAATATGAAATCAATAATTCAAATTATATCAAACAGAATTCAATAATTATGTTGAACAAAAAAAACAAGTTTAATAAAAAAATATTTCAAATTATTATTTAGCTTTATAGATGAAATATTTTTCCCTGTGCTAGATGCCATTATTAACCACTTAAATGATTAATTTAATTATGATTGTTTAAATTTTTTATCATAAATATCTATTTTTACTACCGCTGGAATTATGGATAATAAAAAAATAGAAGGATGGCAAATATCCAAAATTTGTCACACTCACTTATCAAATGAATGACCAAAATATTATTCATGAATATTATGATTTTCGCTCTTTAAATTTGGAGTCCCAAGCAATCATTTGTTGCGGAGATCTTTAGAAATTTAGAAAGATTGACGCATATATTGATGAAAGTAATGTATTGATATTTTACTTGAATTGTATATAATTAAAGGTATTGCAAACTAGAAAACCACCAAAGAAAATAACAACGAAATCATAACCAAAACAAAAAAATGGATAAAATATTCTTTTATATTACCATACCGACTTTTGAATCAATTAAATTCTTACTCTAATTTAAATTTATTATATAAATATTTATTAACCCTTCCTACTATTTCCTGTTCAGCCGAAAGAGCTATGAGTAAAGTAAAAATAAACAAATTCGAATGTAAAATTTAGGACCCTTTTTTAGAAAATTTACTGTTAATATCCAGCGAAATTGATGTTTTTGAAAAATTTACAATTGATGATATATAACACAATTTGCCTTGACATCTATAAGGTTATCCAAATTATTAATAAGCTAATATATATGCTTTTTTGAAAATGTTAATTTAATTTTTATAATTCCAGTGCAAAATATACCGCATTCATTTTATTCTAATATTTTATATAAGTTCTATGTACAATTAAGGTTTTAAATTAATTAAAAGTAATATAGGTATTTAGAATCAAGCCAAATATACCTCTTTAAAATTACTCGTCTTATTTTTACAATATTTTAGATCGTCTTTTATAGAAATATTATATTTTTTTTATGAAAATAAAGTGATTATCAACCAAACTATAAAAAGATTGCATTACTTAAATATAAGTTAATTTATACACGCTTGTGGCTTATTTTAAAAAAACGGATAGTAACAAGTTGATTATCACCAACAAATTTTAAAATTTTTTTTCTCCTAAACAGGCTTGAAGAATTGTAAATAGAACTATGTTGTAAGGTAATAAATGGATTCTTTTTATAATACGGCCGCGATATTTTTTTTATGGGGATAGGGGTAGATTTTGGAAGAGGGTTTGCCTCCATCAATTTTTCTGCCATGTAGACCCTGGATAGAAGATTTATTTTTTTTAAAACATGAGATCTTGAACTAGTGTTAATCAATGACCCAATTTGGGTCGATTTTTAAAAACGGCCCGATTAAGATTTCAAACAAAATAATATTATGTAAGCCCGTTTTTTGCTGATAGCAGAAAGAGAAAAATATTGAGACTTACATAATACTATTTTGGCTAAAATCTTAATATGGGGTTAACAACATTATCACAAAAAAAAACACGATTTTCAACCCGGTCTCCTCAGATTTTTCCTAAATATCAACAAGAGTTTGTATATTATAACTAAGAAAAAAAAACTTAGCCCCCAACTCCAAACAGAGGTTGAGATATGGGCCTCTAAATGTAAAAAAAATGGGGCATTTTTGGGAAAATGGACTCAATTTAATCTTAAATATTTTCGATATAAGTGAGCTAGAAGCGTTATTTAAATTTCTTTATATAGTCTAATGGTAGGCATTTAAGGTTATATAATGTCATATTATTTATAAATTTTAAATGTCAAAAACCGGATTTATATATTTACACATGTTATAAAAACATTACGGTTTTTAAGGAAAAAGGTTTTTAAGGAAAAAGTCAAACTATATACAACGTTTAATATCTAGTATATATTTTGGTGCAGCACGCTTAATTTGGCATAAAAATATAAAAATTTATTGTATCCAAAAAAACCTTAGCATAACTCGTTTTCAAGTTATATTTGTTTCTAAATTCTAGATCATTGTTTTAATTTATTAGGGGTGGGAGGGGGGGGGCAACGCATTTTATTATTTTTAACATTTTATATATAATATATATACAATAAAAATAAATGAGATATGACAGAACGGTGAAGGTATTCTATTTTGTAGACAATTTGAATCTATAAATTTAAAGTTAAATCAATATTTATAAGTTTTGAAAAAGACTCAAAATATTTAAATTTGCTGGAAATAAAACAAAATTAAATTTTGTATTTATTATTTTATAGACTTTCGATTGAGTTATCTTGAGCAAATAATTCATCATCTGTCATAAATAAACGAGACAGTTCATCGGAAGTTTTATTCTTAGTTTCTGGTAAAAATTTGTAGGTGTATAGCCAGAAGAAAACGAGAAGAACGGTAAAGATCAAAAATACGTAGTTTTCGAGGTATTTCTGAAAATATATTTAATCATAAGATACTTATTTGATAAAAATGTGCATCAATGACCTATCGGGATAATCATAATTTCAAAAAATTATCATGAGTGGTCGGTATGGGAATCCCGAAAATAAATAAGTTGTGACCCGCAACTTTTCGTAAATCACTTAATCATAATTTTTCGTCACATACGACTTTACTTATCAGGATTTTCAAAAATTAGTCGAGGTCAATAAGTCAGGAGGTTATACCCCAAAATCCAGAAAATATAAAAAACTATCAAAAAGAATATAGGAAATATTTGGCCAAAATCACGAAGATGCAAAAAAAATAGTATTGTTGATAAAAGCTTACAGTTTCTGAGCAAAGATTGTAATTAGATAATTGAGCATCTTTATTAATAAATAAATATAGGAGAGACTGGGGTAAAGTTTTTGACGGAGTAACAATGTTCGCAAATAACTTCTTAACCCTTGGCATAAACACTCTAAATTTAATGTGTGTATCTAATTTCTAACCTATGTTCATCTTTTGAAGAGCTTTCCAGGTTTGACATATTTTGCCAAAAAACCGTCTTTTACCCCAAAATTATAAAAATCACCCTCAAGTATTCTTTGCTTTTGGCAAAATATATAAAGGCACAGAATTTAAAAATTCCTATACATGTTCCTTAAGCCATAGCTATAAATTAAAATTTATCGGAAGTTTATAGCTAGAAGTCACGTAATAAAGATTTGCCCAATATATATCACCTTGGGGTAAAGTTGCTCTGGGTAAAACGGTTAAAATATTTCGTCTGATTTTAGCTGTGAAAATTAATTTTTAAATATTAACGTCTACACCATATAAAAAGATACTTTTGTATAAAAAGAAACATTTAAGCTTGGGTGCTATTTGGAATAAAATTTTATGAGCAGAGAAAGAAATATTGATGTGTTTGATGTGCCTAAAATGGGCATATTCAAAATATGCTACTTTTTATATAATTTTTTACATTCTGGTATTGTATTGATTAGTTTATATTAAAAGTAATGAATAGCTATCAAAATTGCAATATTTTGTTCAATTAAACAATATAGTTATGTTCAATTTTATTTTAACCTCTTTACCCCGAAGCTTAGTCATTTTACCCCTGGGCATGGATAAAATGATACACTTTACATAATCAATCGCAGCTCCTAAAGTATTATAGATAGCGAGCTAAACATTTTTTATTTTGTAGATGAGGGATTTGTCTACTTATAAATATATTTTGTTCTGTTTTGTTAATGTTTCAAAATATTATGGTTAAAATGCAAAATACCAATCGTTTTACCAGGCCTTCCCTTTATATATTTATATATTGAAAATCCTATATAATATTTACTTTAAAAAAAAGATTATTTTTAAAATTAATTTTAAATATTTTAAAATTTTAAATAAATATATAAATTTTTAATTCGGAATCACCAATTTGCATTTAAGGATGTATATATCAAATTAATATATATAAAATATTTTTGTAAAATTTTTAAGAAGATATAGAAACTTATATATATTTTATATATCGATATTTACATCATTAGATTGCAAATTTTACGGAAATTCTAGATATATATTTATATATTTATTTATTAATTAAAGATGTTCAATTTTTTAATTACTTTATTTGATCCGAAACTGGAAGTTTTTATCAACAATATTATTTTTTTCATTTCTTATATTTTTTTTTCCGTCATTTTGGCCAAATATTTTTATGAACAAAATTATTTTTTAAAATTTTCCCTATTTTCTTTTACATTTTCGTGATTTGAGCAACATGATATTTTTTTACATTTTTGTGATCTTAAGGCAACACGAAGTCAGGATGCACATTAATATATGGGTGTGAACCGTGAAATTACTCGGGAATGATGGGTCACAGCGTGAGTGTGAATAAAGTTTAATTTACTAGGTGTGCCTAGGCGTGACGAGTTCCTCTAAAATTATTACCGGGTGTGATTGGGGTAAACATAAATTTCCCATGAATCACAGAAATTTTAATTTTAAATTATTTTTTATGATTAAATATTTTATATTTCATAATTAAAATGAATATTTTCTAATTTGATTTAAATCTTTAAATAAAAGGGATAATTTTTAAAAACTAAAATTCTTCCTCATTTTATATACAACATTTTTTTCCCCATCCAATTATAAAATTAAAGATGAAATAATGGGTTAAAATGATTTGAAAATCAGAGGCGGTAACTATACTAGAGACATTGATAAATATAAAACGCCAGAAAATGGGAGGAGCAAAGTTTGGGATAATTTTTTAACAATATGCAATAAAGGAAACCTACAAAATTTTGGGCAAATTGCCAAAACGTTATGTCATATAAATGTTAATCGGTACTAGCACGTTATTAAGGCATAAATATGTCTTAAAAATACAAAACAATTGTCAGACAAATCAAAAGCTGTCTTACAGAATCCAGCTATATCTTATTTTAAAAGATCTTAAACTTCTAAATGTAACAGAAAGTGAAGGGTTGTACTAGCTGTAATATTAATAAGGACAACAAAATATAAAAGATATAATTGTGAGCATAAAAACTCGAATGAATACTATAGTTCTAAAAATATAAAATTAGGATTAAAAGCGTGATCAGAAATAATTATTTGTCTATAACTACCGATTTGTGGACGGATGACTGTAAAGACCAAGTTTTTTAACCATTGCAGCACATATTATCAATATGAATTTTGAAAACATTAGTTTTGGTCACAAGGGAAATGAATGAAATTAAAGGGTAGTCAATTAAATTTTAGAAGAGTACATAGAAAAATCAAATTATAAAAGTAAATGTATAGTAGTGACGTGACTGATAATTGTACATATCCTATAAGCGCCTTCAAAGTGCTTCTCTGAATAGCTTCATGTATAAATGGTGAAAAAAGATAGTGCAATATTTTAAGCAATCTACAGCAAACAGCAAGCTAAGCCTTTAGCAGGATATAATAAAGAGATGAAACTCTGTATATATCATGATACAAAGTTTTTTAAAACTATACGATCAAATGTTTACTTGCTTAGCAAACAAGAATTTTTCAGATTGGCGACAATTATATAAGCATCATACGCGAGTTAGATAATTTTCTATCAATATTAATCGTATAATCTGAGCGCAGATTCTCATCCCACATTAAATGAAATTTATCTATGGAAACAAAAATTAATGAAATTTTGTTAACTTTCAGAAGATGATACAATAACAATAAAACCACTAAAAATAAAGCAATATCTTATAAAAGAAAGATTTATCATGCAGCCACTCCACAAGGTAGGCATAATTCTTGATCCAAATTTTAAAAGTCTTGTGTTTTTAATCGCCGAAAAGGCGACAAATGCTTAATATATTAAAATTTGATGATATGCATAAGGTAACCAACTCTCATTTTTAAATTTTCTTATTTGATTTCCACCAAGCATTTAGAGAATTTCTACCATAAAAAAAAGTAAAAATCAATAAATTTAAAGTTTACGAAGCAGGAAAATTTTCTTCCATTTTTAAGGAAATTAGCCAGTAATTTAGTCAGCCCCAGCAACAGTAAAAGGTTATATTATTCGAGGAAAGACGAATACAATTAAAATAAAAAAATATGGGCATTCTTCTTTTTTTAAATAAAAATTTTGATTTATAAATGGTAAATATTTTTTTTGTTATTTATATGGAATTAAAGAAATAAAAAAAGCAGAATTATAATAATTTAATGAATAAAAAACTGAAAGGATAGAATAAATTCAAAAAGACGTAAAAATTTTAGCAATAAAGTTTTGAGTAAGACAGAAATAAAACACCGTGAATTATTGTCTTATATAAGCGGGTGGGTCGGGCCAAAAAATTTTGAGCAGTGGGCGTGTAAGGCAGTGAATTTTTTTCTTGCCAGCAGGCGGGCCATGAATATTTGGTCGTGCCCCTCTAATATGCAGTTAAGATTGTTCGATTTTAACCTTAATTAGACAGCTTATGCTAATTTGAAGAACATTTATATCCATCTGATTTTTGTTCTATTTAATTTTACCAACAAAAAATAAATAAGCTTAAAGTTACCTAATTTTAATTGCACATTTAATTTACCACTAAAAACAAAAAGATCGAAAACTCATTATGTATCTATGCCAATTATTGTGATAAATTCTTTAATATCTTTTACCTTTAAATGAAAAGGGCTTGGTTACTTACACTAACAATAATTTTTACCTATAGGCTTAGTTATTTTCATAATGCACAGACAGTAGTTTAAAAGTCCTTACATGAGCCAAAGGAAATAGCAGGCCAACTAAAAAGTTTCCTAACCAGTTGAAAATTACAGAAATACTCATAGCCTTCGGTCTTGATGCTTGAGTGAAAAGTTCAGCCGATATAAACCAAGCTATAACACCTGTTTATGAAAAAATAAAATATGATATAATAATTTATAATTAATTTCGCAACACACCATTACCATAAAATTATTTCTGCAAAAAATATTACAGCGAATTTCGATTATCACGAGAAGATATTTACACAAATATTTTGTGTCGAATCTATTACTGCGAAGGTCCAGTAATACATCACGGCAAAAAACATTGAATGTATTACCGAAAAATTGTTATTATCATTAAATTACAGTCAGTGTATTACCGCTAATGCAGTACTACAAAAAATTACTGAGAATGCATTCCAAGTCAAGTGGCTAGGGGATTTGGCGTTGCAACACTTTATCACTTAGATATTTTATGAAACAACACTTAATAACGAGAATATCATCATAACACATTTAATCACATTTTGAAAGACTATTATTTTTATTATAAATATTTGTTTCCTCAAATTTGTGCAAAAATTTTGTAAGTTAGTGCAAATGGTCATAAAATATTGTATGTTTATCACAAAGACCTGACTTAGAATACTTTTTTTGTAAAATCTGACTTGGGCTTATTGAAAAAAAATAAAATATCAAATTAATCAGGTTTACTCATTAAAGTGAATTCACTGTTAATATTTTCAATTTTCCTTTAGAGCAGTTTATAAATCACTCAAAATTATTAACAATGAAGTTTTAAAAATCTTGGTCAGGTCATAAAATAATAAATCCTAAATTCTGGCCGCTTAAAAATAAAAATCGGGCCGGAATAATGTTTTTAAGAAAATTCTGGGCCGAGTTTAAATGTTCGACTTCTGCAGGTTTCTGATTTAGATATTCTAAAAATCGAAATTCGCTATGCTTCAGAACTGTAACATAAATTATTAGCCAATATTTGTTCAACTTTTATGATAAAAATTTATAATTAATAAAAAAAACAATAGAGTTCAGTTTTATAAGTCTAATTTTATAAAAAAAATTTATACCCGGTTCTTATTTATATTTAAGAATATAATTTTTTTGAGAGCATTTATTTTCACCCTTTTTTGATAAAAAAGAAAACAAATATTTATTTAAATAAAAATAAAAAACTTTCAAAATGTGATAAAAGTTATGTGATCACGTGCCATGTTATAAAGTGTCTCATTATCAGATATTGTGTGAGGAGTCTGAGTGATAAAGTATGACGGATGAAGCATTGTGTGACAATTAGAATAATATAAATTAGAATAGTATATAAAACTTTTTCTTAATTTTCCCTAAATAATACGGGCTAAGATGTTAATATATATTTGATATTAAGTTAGATTAAATCAATGGTTAAATAAGAATGTTTAGTTTAATTTTACCAATAAGGGCTGAGACAAGGTTGCTCGTTGGTATAATTCAGATTGGCCAGTCAGTAAAATCAGATATATACTTATGGCTACCTTTTACGGTAAAATAGTGACGAAAACAGTGGTAATGGTTTGCGAAAATAATTTTCTATTCGACTATAATGTTTTCACTTAGATATTTGAGGAAATCCATTCACGTAATTATCTTTTCTTTGATATCAACATTCACGATAATACCTTTCTCAGAATATGTTTTACACTATTGACATGTTATCTTAATTTTACATAAATTTTAATTAACTAATTAAACATTTTATTTATAGCTTAACTTCTGTTAAAATAATTTCCTGTTCATAAAAAGCAAAATTAGTTTTTTTTTCTATCAACTCTTATCTAGAGGTCAAACATCTCCCTTGAGGCGTGCAGGTTCCTAATCGATCAGTCTTTCGAAGAAAACCAAAAAGAGATTTTTTTAAAATATAATAATATAATTATGCAATTCAATGGATATTTGTCTCCTATTTGAATTATTTAAAAAAAATACTTTAAAATTTAAAATCCATGCCAAAAAATGTAAGATTGGACTCGTTGGAATAACATTCAAATGGAAACTTTTTATGTTGATTTCCAAAGGCAAATAAATAGATAATTTTAATTTCATAAATATAGAATATTACTTGCCTAATAGTCAGATAATGAGGGTGACATTACACAAGTCAAGAAGAATGAAAAATTATATAATAATATTCAAATCTGATGTAAAATTATTCTGACTAAGCTTTTTAAAAAATTCCTTAAAAAGAAAGTTATACTGTCAAAGTTGTGATTATTGAAGCTACCCTGCATTCATTTTAAAACGGCTGTAAAAATTTAGGGGAAAAATTAAATTTTAGAAATGAATAACATTGTTTATGTGTGTATCCAGGAATATATAGAGGGTGGGGGGGGGGGTTTATAATTTTTTCGAAACATTAAAAATTTATTATAAGAACCAATTTAGTGTTTGCATGGTTCAGTTCGGTCCGACTGAAGACATATTAAAAATAAAAGTTTACAAAGGATTACTTTTTAATGTGCATGAACACTTAAAACAGATTATTTAATGCCTAACATTTTGTAATATCTCATTCATTGTTTGCTTTCTCTATTCTTTTGCATTAAGAAACAATATATAAAAATATATATTTATTTTATTAATCAATATATTTATCTAAGGAAATATTCTTGAGGGATAGAAGAGCCAGGAATAGGCTCACGGTGACTGGGACATCAGAGGAATCTAAAAAAGATGATATAAATGATCTAAAGCTACAATATTTTATTATATCCAATTAATTCCAACAAATTAGATTGGTGGTAAGGGAATCAATATCGATAATTCTGGCCAAAATAGCGACTATCTCCCACTACAGACTACATGTTCAATCTCTAATGTAATTTTAATTATGGATAAATAATGCGATTTATTTTTCTGAAGATTATTAGAATATTTATATGTAAATCAATTTTATGTTATAACCAAATATCTATCACATATTATATATATCAATATGCAATTAATTTATATTATTCAATAAATTTGGTATTAAAAATTATTTAATGATATAATTAAGATATTAGTAATTTAACACATTTGATTTTTAATAAATTTAATGAACAATAAATCTTTTATAGTATAACAAAAAAACATATGTTAAATGAAACCGGTCTAGCGGTTCAGTCTCATTTTATAAAAAAGACCGGACCGGATTGCTGCAGACACTAAACCAATCATATTTAAAAAAATATTAGAAAATACAAAATTTTAAGAGCGATTATAATATTGTTAAAAAATATTATAGCTATAACCGCTATATAAATCATAATAAAATAGAGAATTAAATATTTTCTTAAAAAGTTAATCAGTATCGTTCATAAATCAAAATTTAATCTTCTTTGAGATTGCGTTAATTTTCAATCTGATATATGATAATTTGCAATTCACAATTCATAATAACCTTTTATATTTTGTCAAATATTTTTGCTATAGGGAGAGGGGGGTTACCCTCTCTTCCTCCGCAAGATAGGTGCCTGACATTGCGGCTTAGATATGAAGATCGTGAGATAACGGAATCGAGTTCCAGACTAAGGCGAAAAGGTAAAATTATATAATGAACATGTAAACAATTTAAAATCAAAAATATATCATGGCTTTGAATAATAATTTTTCTATTCTATAACTATTGGTGAATAAATATAATTCCAACAAGCGATCTTGTAGAGTGATAGTTATTATCTAGCCTAGGCAGATTTATTTTAAAAGAAAAAAAATACTTAGGTTGAAAAATAATATTTAGTCGATTAAATAAAAATTTATTGAGCCCAAATGTTAGAGGAAAGATATTGTGTTAATATATTATTGTATATGTTTTCATTTAAACTTATTTGATCAATATTTGTATATCATAATTATTGAATAAATCTTGTATCTTATAAAAATTATATTAAAAATTAAAAGTTATTTAGATGATTCAATGCAACTAGTTAATTTGAAATTTAAAAATAGAACCAATTATTTAACTAGTAACTTGCTAGTGAGAAAATGCACTTTTGAGCATAAATCATTTGTCAAAAATAACTAACAATTAAGTGTTACTAATAAAAAAAATTATATTTTATTAAAAAATTATTTGGAAGCAAAATTTAAACAGGGACAGATGTGAACAGCTCTATATAGCATCTCTAGAGACACTCCTCAAGTTTTAAGTTTTATGTTTTTTCTCGTGTTATAAAAGAAGGGCGGACATTTGACCTTCATTTATTATCTAACATAAATTATGGGGAATGGCTCATACTAACCGGGTCCGATGGCGAAGAAGCACACAAAAACAATCACAAATGCTACCGAAAAATAGGAAGCGATTCCTTGTTGTTTTTTATCTCCTTTAGAACCAAGTGCTAAAGTCAGGGTCAACAATATACTGCACACCCACATACCAGCCAGACCTAAAAGATATAAGGTGCGACGCCCGGCTTTTTCTATGATAACCATGGATAGAACTGTCATCAGAACATTTATGGTTCCCATACCGCATGTCGCATATATTGCTGAACCACTGCTCAGTCCTGCGCTTATGAAAATTCCAGTAGAGAAAAACATGGCCTATTAGCAAAAAAAATTTGAAAGAAATGTGAATAATGTAAAAAAAAATTTATGATACATACCATAATCATTAATATTTAGTAGTGAATAATCTTCAGTTTTAACCATTATAAATTATATAGATTATACCTAGAAAAATTATAGATATATTTAAGTACTCTAACAAAAAGGTTTACAGCAACTCATACTCATTTTTTATAAAATTTTTTATATTTAAATAGGTATTTTAAATTTCAAAAATAATTGAATTCCTACCGCATTAATGCCACTGAGCTGTTGTGAAATATGGGTTTCACTAGCAATGATCAACGGTTTACGATATATGGGTTTTGAAAACATATCTCTCCAGGTGACTGGAGGAAGTCGTCCTTGTTCTTCTGCCTCCTTCTTCATTTGATCTATCTCCTCTGTGACATCATCTGTATTACGTAACTTCGCTAGTGCTAATATAATATAACGATATATTGGATCATTAAATCAGAAAAATGTTTTTGTTTTAATCAACAAATAATTTAAAAAATATTTTTTAAAGCAAAGAGCACCATCGGGTCGTCATCTTAATTTTGAGAACAATTATAATAATTTAAAATTGTTATTACATAAATAATAGTTAAAAAATTAAGACCTATATAAAACAGTCGTTAAACTCACCATTAACCTAAATATATACCAGCATACTTTAATAACAGGTAAACTCGTTACAAGGATAATATGTTATCGGAAGAGAAGTATTTTAGAATTTAGATTTAAACTATTGTAAATCTATTTGGATTATAATGGAAATAACATTTATTAAGAAATTTTAATTCAGATATATATAATATATTTTTTGAATGTTACAATGACTTCTACAATCATTTAAACCAATCCTAAAGCTTTATAAAATGACCTTCTTAAGAATTATCAAATAACCATAAGTAAATATAAATATAAAAATTTTATTTATGACCTTATTTAAAACCAATTTGTTTAGCTTTTTTTCTCATTTCTCATTTTTATTAGTTTATAAAATTTGCTATTCCTAAAAATGCAAAATATAAAAACTCACCATATCTAGCCCTGATCTCGTCATTTTTAGTGATTAGCAAATACCTGGGGCTTTCCGGCATAAGCGGGAGAAATAGGCATTGTATTATCGCCGGAATAGACCCAAATGCTAATAGTATAGGCCATTGGTTTACGCTTCCCAGTAGTTGTGGCATGCCCAATATTTGTGAGAATAAAATAGATATAGTTATGGCTAATTGGTGGACTGCTCCAATTGCGCCTCTCATAGATACAGGCGATATCTCTGCCAAATACATTGGAACAGCCCCGGAAGTGATACCTATATAGTATTTGTACACATAAACAAGTATCTTTAAAATTTCCTATTTTAAAAATTGAAAGAAACTATTAATTTTTTTTTTACTCATATATTTTTTTTCCTACAATAATTCTAAGAATCAGGGACCCAGAGCAAGCTTTATAACAGGAACAAACTTTTATAATTTTCTGAACTGTAACCGAACCTTTATGCCAAATCGCAAAAAGAAGATAAAACCCTTTATATTTTTTTTGAACCGGTATAAACCTTTTTTGTTTATAGAAATAAATTATAATTTAGACCATATATTTAATAACTAACACCTCACTTTTCCCTAGAAAGTTTTTATTAATTTTATAATGGTCCTTTTTTCTAATTTTCTTGCTAATCTGATAATTTTTTCATATTTATTTTATCTTATTCATAAATTTAAATCTAATAATATTGCAAATTATAGTATAGATAAATAAATTTTAAACAAACATCAATTATTTCTAAGGTATTTGCAAGGATTTTGATTAAATAAAAATATAGATCTATAGAATAGAACACAATAGAGGATGTCATGTTATCATTAAAACCATTATATATTCTATCTGTGATTCTCCAGACACAATAATTAACTTTAGGTGATTTTTATCCTGGCTAAAATCCATAATGGAAACAAAAAAATTATTGCTTCTTTAACAGAAGCAAGAGAACTCAATATAAAATGATGCGTTTTGTTCCACGATATATCTGGATCCTAGATGTCAAGTACATTTGTCGTGTGGTGAAAAGGAAAAAACTAACCAATATCATTGAGCAAGACATCGCAGGATATCCATCTTCATAACACTGAAGTTGAAGAAACTGGTCTACTATGTGAAAGTATAATTCAAAGAAGATGAGAAAATAGAAAAATTTTCTTTCTCAAAAGAATGTCTCAAGATGTGATGTGAGGCTTGAAATTGGAAATAACAAAAGATTCCCTAATTTATATCATAAGGTTGAAAGAATCCCGAAAGATACTACATTAATGGCCTACTGGGAGTCTAAAAATATGAATATCCTTAGTTATTCCAGCTAGACTATCAGACTACGCAACACAAGTTTCAGTTGAAAAATCAAAAAATTTATTCTATCAGAGCGTACAAATAAAAATTCTAAACTTTTAGAAAACATATTAATTATACTTATTATATATTCACAAATAAATCTTAAATAATTATTATACTTTGTAGTTTGTATAATTGAATCCCGTGAAAAAAAACCCGAAAAAGAAACCCCCGGAAAAACCCCCAGAAAAAAAACCCCGGATTTTTTTTCCCATATTTATAGAATTTACTTAAGACCTAATAATATAGGTTTTTATTTAGATTATAATGGATATACTCATATTTATAAGGTATAGACATAGTATTTTATAAAAAAATATTATAAATATATAATGTATTATAATAAGCTAAATTTTTTAGGCCCTAATTCATTATTTAAAGATTATTCATATACCTTCCAAAATGCTTAAACAAGATAAAATGCTGAAGTTCAAATTGGTATTGGAAAAAAATACCCCAGTAAAATAACCCATGTATTTCTTATTTTCGTAAAAATTATTTGCTATAGTAATAAATACAATATCCATCCTTAATTAAGATATTAAGTAGACTAAATTTGACAAAATTTTGTTATAAAATATATTTATTTTATTGGAAATCATGACTATGTATATACAAATATAATAATTTAGAATAATAATTATATGGGTTGACATCGAATATTGAAGGAAGTCACTGTTATATAATCTGGAAGGCTTCGCACCGCATCACGGTATTCCTCGCAAAGTTTTTAACCGAATCTGGGTATTATAACTCTCTGATTTTGCTTTAGGTGCCCAACTATCTACAAGCCATCGTTCAAGTTTGGTTTTATCGGAAGCCATTAGGAATTTCATTTTTTTAATCAATACCCAGATTGATCGGTGTTTAATCACAACCAGATTAGAAAAACAATGATTCCAACTTTCGCATTGATTATTTGTGCGTTCTTCGTCGGATAGAGTGTTCTGATTCATGTTCCAAGTTTCTGGAGGAAATCGAGGCTTAATTCGACGTGGTTGGAATTGAGAGTTGCTTCTTGACCTCCCTTGATGCTCCATTGATATAATTTTTAATTATTTATCAATATAATATATTGCCATGGACACTCGCTTATAAATTTATTTATCAATATAAATTATTGCTAGGTTATGCTAAAATATAAGAGTGTATAAAAACAATCCTCCACTTAAAAAAAATATAAAATTCATATTTGTAATAAAAAAAATTTCAAGTAAAAATTAGCAAAAAAGTAAAAATCAAAACAACATTTACCTTGCTTTACCCAACCCCCATATATTAATACGATAAGCATCCCTAATAATTGCAAATCCTATGTTATATGTGAGATTCAAAAATTGTTATTTATAGCGTCAAATTTGATAAAAAAAATACTAATTAAATTTGAAATTTTTAAAGTTTTATTTCCGGGGGTTTTCCATAAGGTTTTTTCTAGTGATGTTAAGGTAACTAGTTACTTGTAATGGCTAAAAAATAACTGTAACTAGTTATATTTTTAAAATTGTAACTAGTAACTGTAACTAAAATTTTTGAAATGTAACTGCCAAAAGTAACTAGTTACTTTTAAAGATATATTCAAATAATTAATTTTATTTTTAATATGTTGTGATAAATTAATTTTAAATTAAATTTATTTTTTAAATTAAATTTGTTAATTTAAAATTTTGTGAAAATGTCTGATTGTTCCTAACAATAACACAAATACTTATATGTATGGCAGATGTGCAGGGATTAAAATATTGTCAATCTCTAAAGGATACTATATTAGCTAGTATTGAAAAAAGGTAACTAAAATCAAATAATTATTTATAAATTAATAATATCATGTTATGATAATGACAACATCATTGCTGCAATTCTTCACCCTTTATTTAAAATTGACTGACCTTGGATTATGCAAGAAAGGAATAAAGCAAAAAAGGAGGAAATTTTAAATTTAATAAATACCTTAATACCTCAAAGTGAATCCCAGATGAATGAATCATGCTCAAAACCAACATCACTTGATGTAGTTGGATTTTATGACCGAAAGCGCCAAAATATTCTGGATAATAAACTTATAGAAAACTTTATCAAATCTAATAACAACACTTTTTCTTTATATAACGATTTTCCAAAGTTAAAATTACTCTTTATTAAATATAATGTTGTTCTAACATCAAGAGCTCCCGTAGAGCGCTTATTTAGTCTAGGTAAGCTCATTTTTGGAGATAAACGAGCACGTCTCCTAGACAGGGTTGCCAGGTCAAAATTTTCAAATTGTAGGAAAAATTCGGTATTTTGTGGGAGTAATATAAAAATTGTGGGTGAAATATGAAAATTGCTAAAAAAACGGGATTTAGAATTGACTTAGTTATCCGCTTATTTTTTATAAATATAAAATCGAATCTCCCAAAATAAAATGGTAATTATTTTTCAAAATAAAATAGCCAACTATTTTTCAAAATAAAATAGCCAACTATTTTTCAAAATAAAATAGCCAACTATTTTTCAAAATAAAATAGCCAACTATTTTTCAAAATAAAATATCCAACTCTTTTTCAAAATAAAATAGGTAACTATTTTCCAAAATAAAATACGCAACTATTTTTCAAAATAGGTAATTATAGTACGTAGTGAAGGTCACGGTCCGGTCTTTGGTCCGGACTGGACCGATACCCTCGGACCGGACCGGACCACGGTCCTTAAAAAAGATCGATCCAGACCGTGGTCCTAAATACCGGTCCAGGACCGGGTTTTTATTTGTTTAAAAAACATTTTTTTTTTAACCTAATATAATTTGTTTTATCATTTTATTAAATATAAGAGTATTATATAAACAATATAAAATTAATTATGAATAATATAATAATTAATACAAATATTTAATTTAAATAAATGCTAATGTCTTTGTTTGTAGAACTTCCTTGGAAGGAATTAGAAGAGGGACTTAATGGAGGCGGTAGATCTATTCCATTCTTTAACCAAGAGCCCATACACATCAAAGCTTGTATTGTTTTGTTTGAAAGCCTATTCCCTTTTTTAGTGACAAGATCTCCTGCTTTCGAAAATATTTTTTCACAGGGGACAGATGTTGCTTGAATTGCTAAAAAATTTTTAGCTGCTAATGAGAGGACTGGAAATCTATATAATAAACTATATTGACTATTTAAAAAATATAAAGGACCTTACACTATTGGCTTTCCACCATACTAATATGTCATCCTTTAATGAAACAAGAGGTTCATTCAAATAGGTGTGAAGTTCTGATATATTTTCTTCAATGATTTATGCCGATATATAATCCCCTTCTGAATTTCTTTTTTGGGATAAAACTCTTTCTAAAAAACTAAATTCATTGATTTCCTCCTGGCACAAATGTTTGAAAATTAGGATTTAATAAATAAATATTAAAAATATACCTGAGAATCCGTTATTCCTGTATTTTTTTTATTTTCTATTTTCCTTAAATATTTTGAAAATTTGGTCATATACTCAATTCTATTAAGAGTATTAGGCATGTAAACTTGTTTTAATCTCGGATCCAATAAGCAAAATAATTCTTTGAGATATTTCTGCATTTTAACCAGCATGTTATTAAGAATTTCTTTTCTTGTATTGTTATTATCCTTTTTTATATTATTTAAAATTTTATTATTTATATTCTCCATATATAACATGGAAATCCCAACTGTAGGGTATTTGGATCCTGATAAATCAAGTGTGGTTTTATTGAAGGGACTTAGAAAATCTACAGCCTCTCTAAGGTCTTCATTTTCACACTCAGTAAAGAAAACCCCTTTAAATTGTTTGTAATTCAAAAAAGTACTTCTTTTATAGCATCCATGTTCTAAAAATTAAATATTTTTTAAAAATAATTGGATAAAAATGTTACCTCATAAATTGTATTCATCATTAAATAGGAGCTATTCCATCTAATAGGGA